GGTTGTTGGGGCAGCCATCTTGGGCGTGCTCAGTATTTTTTACTAGGGCCAAAAACCCTACCAGCATGTCTTTGCAGTATGGGAGGAAACCCACACAAGGACTGGGATGACATGCAACCTCCATGCCGATAGTGTCCTGACTAGAGTGTAAGAAAATATGGACACCGGCACTGCAAAGTAGAATAACGTCTTTTATTGACGTTCCATGCAAAAATACACTATTGCAACGTTTCGGGGTCACACACCGTTTCGGGGTCACACAGGATCCCCTTCATCAGGCTTGTTCTGCCTGATGAAGGGGATCCTGTGTGACCCCGAAACGTTGCAATAGTGTATTTTTGGATGGAACGTCAATAAAAGACGTTATTCTACTTTGGAGTGCCGGTGTCCATATTTTCTTACACTTTATTCAGACGGTGGCCATCCGTCGACTACTGATGCACCCAACCCATCATTATGGATTAAGCGGTAAGGAGTGCAATGGGTACACGGATTGTTAGTGTCCTGACTAGGACTCAAACCAAGGACCCCAGTGCTGCAAAGTAGAAGTGCTAACCACTAAGCCACTCTAAGGCAGAATGAGACTGGTCCTCTTTAGTGCAAGGTTTAAAAGTCTTCAAAACCAGGTAATAGGCATATCTTTATATCTATGGCATTGATATATTAGGGTGTAATCAAAAAAGTAGGGGTGCTATTATATATTTGCACAGACAGATATGGTCCGCCAAGGAAATATAAAAGGACAATAAGTGCCAATGTTGTTTACAGGATTATTCTAGAGATTAGGGCTAGCTACGTATGTGGGTTATAATTCTTCATATATGTATGTTTTGCAGCCTTAATACAATAGAACCAAAGTTTATGGGCTCAATGCACACATGTGAATGCTCTGTGCGTTGGTGTGTGCTGTGTTGCAGTAGCGCAGGTACGTTTTTAGTGTGTTCAGAGCTCATTTAATCTGACTAGGCCGCCTTAAAGTAATGCTCCTCAATGCATAAAATTGTGAACATTACCACACGCAAAGATGTGAAGGAGCCCGAAAGGTCAACTACCAATCAGTCATTGGTTTTCTCTCTCCGAGACACAAATAAATGCATTTCCTTGTGATTTTTCTTATCTCCACCACTTCCCACAAGACCATCATGAATGAGTCACCATCTTGTGGCTGGACCCTCCCGTCATTTATTCTATATTATGGAGGATACATTGGGAGAGACATCATTATTTAACTGCCAGAATTCACAAGAGATGAAAGAGAGGGAGCCAGGGGGAGATTTAGCTTGGTTTACTTCAAAACAGCAAACCCATTGAAAAGCATTGAGCACTAGGGATGAGGACAGAACTGGAACTTCTTGGAAGGCACAGGAAGTCATTTGGGCATTGAGTGCTATACTATACATGCTATACATCAGCACTGAACTCAAGTCAATAAGCCAAGACCTATAGACTAACATCCACTTGGGTCCAGTGAAGCTTCATAGCAAGCAACCATATAAACAGACAATGTAAGGCTTGCGGTAACAATGAAACCTCTAACCAACCCAGTTCCACTTTGCAAACGTCATTCCTTTTGTTTGGGTAACATATTATATCACCCATATGTATCTAGAGATAATCATGTCATGCAGAGCTGGACAATTCCCAGGATCCAGGTAGCCAATGGTCCTGAAAAGTTACAGATATCAATGGACCTGGCACTTAAAAAATCCTGCTGGCTCCTGGATTGGACAGACTGGCTCCTGAATTCCAAGTAGACCTTCTATGCAGATAACATCTTCCTCTCTTATGCCTCCTTCCCCTCCTCCTGCTGCCTCGTTGGATGTTAAACACCCTGTGAAGCACTATTGTGATGTTTCAATTATGAGATCCCACGCATACTCAGAATTTTAAAGTTTTCTATAGTTGTTGTCAATGGCGCTGGTTCCTAAAAAAAATCCTGCTGGCTCCTGGATTGGACAGACCACCTCCTTTCAGCAGGTCTTTGCCAGGTCCCATAGCACGTCTGCGCATGTGTGAGATCCCCAACCATGCCTCTGCTAGGGAGAGCCCTGAGTTGCCCTGTGCATGTGCTTGTCTTGCCTGAAGAAGGGGATCTTGAGTGACCCCGAAACATTGCATTTGTGATATGCTGCACTTTCATCAATAAAATAAACGCAATTCAACATTTGGAGTGCCCCATTTATGCTTTGTGTATGTAACGGCGCCATCCATTGGACACCGCAGCACCCACTAGTGGTTTCAGAACATAGCGGTCAGGAGTACAATGGGTTCATGGACTTTACACATGTGAGGGGTCCTCTTTTAAGATGGGAGCTGAGACCTTCAGCTGCAGGACTCCATGGGCTCGTAAGTGTGTTATTTTTTTTAGTTTCAAAGAGGGACAGCTGTTAGGGATGCCAAATTTCAAGTGACAGGTCTTAAAAATACATTCGAGTATCCAAGCCTTTAACAAAACTGTATCTTATTTGTGTATCACTCGGCTGTAGATCCTCAAATCATCTCTGAATTGGTGCTGACACTGTCCTTCCTTCTGGAGGGGGGCTACTTTTGTTCCCCATGGTCCCTTTGTGTGTTGTAAAGTAGTCACCGCTCCAAGCTCACTCCCGGAATGGACAATCTCAAAACAAATTAACTAACTAATCATGAGCTTGTAGTCCATCATGAGAGCGAGCTTGGAGGGGTGACTACTTTACAACACACACAGGGACCATAGGGGAACAAAAGTAGCCACCCTCCAGAAGGAAGGACAGTGTGTGCACCAATTCAGAGATGATTTGAAGATCTACAGCCGAGTGATACACAAATAAGACACATTTTTGTTAATAGTTCAGGTACTTGAATGTATTTTTAAGACCTGTCACTTTAAATTTGGCATCCCTAACAGCTGTCCCTCTTTAAAAATAAAAAAAGAACACACATGCTAGTCCATTAAGTCTATCAGCCGAAGCTCTCTGCTCCCATGAGTGAAGTTGCTCTTTGGGCTTTACTTTGAAAACAATTGTCTAACAATTTATTGCAGAATATAATCCACCTGCAAATATTACATTATACCCGTGATAAAACTGTTATCACGATACATGTACAATCTTTGCACACAGTATGTTTACAGTAGCAGACATCAGGCATTTTAAACATGTGACAAGTTGTGACAACTCCTCCATTCTAGCCAAACCTTAATCAAAGCAGGACTGCCGGAGACATTTGTCCCCGGGCTTCGGTGACGAGGATCAATCCAGTCACCGATCACTTCTGTCGCTTCTGCAGTGATGACACAGAGCGTGTGTCTAGATCAGCAGCCCACGGGGGTTGACAGCTGAGTCTCAAGACTCCCCGCAGCTGTGCTGACGATGTTGCCAAACTGCATTTATTTTGGGATTACTGAAATACCAGAGCGATAACTAAGATGTGCACGTTTCTTCGTGGCTGGTTCCTGTTTGCTAGGGAAAGTACCAGGTTTTGAAAAATTGTCCCGGCAAATACAGTGGTAGGGGGAGCAGACAAAAACTGGAGCAACTTTGCATGGCAACCAATCAGCTTCTCTCTTTCATTTTCAAATCTTAACTGAACAAACTGAAGAGAGAAGCTGATTGGTTGCCGTGCACAGCCGCTCCAGATTTTGTCTGCTCCGGGTTTTAGTAAATATTCCCCCACTGTGTGTACCTGGCATGGCCTCTGCTTAACCAGCTGTGCAACAGCAGCCTAACAGGAAACCATCAGGGCCGGTGCACACCTAGGCGAGCCACGCGAACATTCGCATTGAAGTCAATGGAGGCTGCTCGCACCTTTGCGGTTTGTTGCGCAATATGGTGTAGGAGCTATTTTCGGGCGGTTGTCGAGCGGTTTAGGCCCCATAGACATCTCTATGCATTGAAAAACTGTGCGACAATCACGCGGTTTACAACGAACAGTCACGCGCTCGAAAACATGAAAACCGCTCGGCATCTGAATCTCCTAGGTGTGAACCGAATAGTAATCTGCTGTTTCCGGATCTATGAAAGCCATGAACCTTTCCAGTCAAGAGATTTACATACAGGATACCAAAACTTGATTTACAACTGCTAATTGCTCAGTAATGATAGTTCCTGGATGTAAGGCTGATCGAGAGACTTCAAAGCTTTCTGAGTCACTGACCTGGACTATGGAAATCAGAACTTTCAATTTCACTTGCAACATGCTATTTCCCCGGTCAGTGATCCAGAAGGTTGTGGAGCCAGCCAGGCATATGTGGCATTTTGAGAAGCAGGCAAGAAATGGCAGCCTCTATATTTTTGGCAGTACAGGTTGCTTGTAAGAGCCCTGTCAGTTTTCTGTACTGAAAACTTTCTTTCACAGAACAGTTACATTGCAGTGATCAGCCTCCTATGTAAAGTGCCCCAAAACTGTAGCATGCAGAAGTTTTAAGGTGCACCCAATTGCAGAGTGCGCATAGGGATTTTAATACTCTTTCCAGAGCAATGCATAGATAGGAACAAGCCCTTAAGCGGATTGGGTGATGTACCGTTCCTTCATTCTGCAGAACAGCATCCAATTCGCTGGCACGACATCGGCATCAATACATTGCACATTAGAGCAGGGGTAGGCAACCTCAGCACTCTAGATTTTGTGGAACTACAAGTCCCATGAGGCATTGCAAGACTGACACCCACAAGCATGACTCCCATAGGCACAGCCATGATGGCTTTGTAGTTTCACCCTAGCTGGAGCCCTTAAGCAGATTGGGTGATGTACTATTCCATCATCTGCAGAACAGCATCCAATTCGCTGGCTCAATAAAAGCATCCCCAGACATCATTTTTTGTCATTGCACATTAGAGCAGGGGTAGGCAACCTCAGCCCTCTAGATTTTATGGAACTACAAGTCCCATGAGGCATTGCAAGACTCTAACAGCCACAAGCATGACTCCCCGAGGCAAAGCCATGATAGGATTTGTAGTTTCACCATAGCTGGAAAGCCGGGCTTGCCTACTCATGCATTAGAAATACCGATGACTGTCACTTACCAGCATCCCTGTACTCTTGTCTATGGCCTTCTTGACCTTGCCGTAGGTGCCTTTTCCCAAAGTCTCCATAAGCTGATACCGGTGTTTGATGCTGTGCTTGTGGTGGTGTTTCTTCACCGGCACTGAATCTTGGCTTCTAAACTGGTCAGTCCTGTCCCATGCCGGGACCCTCTCCTCCTCTCTTCTCTGACCCAAATGTTCCTTTGCCATCTTGCTGGACAGCATGCCGGTGTTGCAGGAGCTGTCCTCCCTGATGCACGTCACACCTGTCATGGCGGTCGTCTATATAGTATAACGCCTTCGATCAAATTATTGTCAAAACTTGTCAAAGAAAAGTCATATCAAAACAATAAATATTTGAATAAGTTAAAATATTATTAATAAATACGCGGCACCGCTTCTTCCTGCAAGCCGCTTCAGAGGTTTATGTCGGTGGTTATGAGTGTTGGTGATCTGCTGCCTCTCGCTGAGTGTTGGAAGAAGTAACAATCGGAAAAGTAACAATTTCAAACTTTGCAAAACTTCTCTTCCAGGTTCTCTTCCCTTCCTCTTTCTTTGGATCTTCTCTGTTCAGGGATTGTGGATCTTCTTCTTTTCCATGCAGCCTTGCCGTGGTTTGATGTTCTTGCAGCAGCGGCTCTGAGAGTGAGTGTGTGTGTCAGCTGTCTGAAGTTGCTGTGTGTTCTGAGTTTGTAGACTGGCCTTGCATCCTCCTAGTTGTGGTAGGAGGAGACTTAGGAAGTGGGCAAAGCTTCAGCTGCAGTCTGATGACTGTAAAGTGACTGACACATTCCCTACCTGAGCCGCTGGGGGGGTTGTTAGGCAGCCAGGGATGATACATGGTTAGTGTTAACTCATTATTGTTACCGTAAATGGACTCAGCTCATTAATCTTATTGCATGTATCTTAAGGAAGAACTCCGGTGAGGTGCAAAATTAACTCTGACAGCGCAGATTTGGGTGGCACAGTGGTGCAGTGGTTAGTACTTCTGCCTTCCGGTACTGGGGGTCCCTGGTTCAAATACCAGTCAGGTCACTATCTGCAAGGAGTTTGCATGTTCTCCCTGGGGTTCCTTCCGCACTCCAAAGCCATGATAGAAGGTTAATTGGCTCCTGTCTGAATTTGCTGCCCTTATATATGCATGTGAGATAGAGACCTGAGATTGTAAGATCCTTGAGGGTCCATTCACACCAATTGCAGTGCGTTCCAGAGTGGCATCTGCTGGAACACACAAAACTTCACCCTTTATTCTGGGGCGGGAGGGGGTATGTTGGTGTATTGAAGTCAATGGCACTGCAGCCAGGCCCCCCCCACCTGCAGTGCAATTGGATTTGTGGCAAAACATTGCCTGCGTTCCGGTCTGCTGCAACTGCAAAAAATAGAGCATGCAGCATTGTTTACGTTTGCAGCGGACGCAGGCAATGTTTTGCCACACGTCCGATCGCACTTTTTTTTTCTACCCTAGACCAGGGATAGGCAACCCCGGCGTTCCAGCTGTTGTGGAACTACAAATCCCATGAAACATTGCAAGACCTTCATAGCCAAAGGCATGACTCCCAGAGGCAGATGCTTGATGGGATTTGTAGTTTCACCACAGCTGGAGGTTGCCTACCATTGTCCTAGACCAAAACAAGCACTTAATCCTTGCAGTGCGGGCGTAGCTCACTCCAAGGGTTTATTATATACATGCCCTGAGTTCTTCTTTAAATCGACTGTCGTAGGGAAAAAAAAAACGTGTTCTTCCACACTCCTGGGTATGTTGGATGCCTGGTCCCCCCCACGGCAGTGGGCTGTAGTCTCGCCAATCAGCAGCTACACTACAGGACTAGGGGTGGACAAAAACATGGTGCCGCCACACTCCCCGATATGTTGGATGCCTGGTCCCTCCAATAACGGGCTCTGGTCCAACCCGTCAGCTGCTACATCTCTACAGAACCAGTGGCGGACCAAAACCCGCCACAATCTTGGGCAAGTTGGATGCCTGGTCCCCATACGGCGGCGGACTCTGGTCCCACCAGTCAGCCGCTACATCACAATAGGACTAGGGGTGGACAAAAACTTGGTCCAACCACAGTCCTGGGTATGTTGGATGCCTGGTCCCTCCCACGACAGGCTCTAGTCCCACTCGTCAGCTCGTTACATCACTAAAGAACCAGTGGTAGACAAAAACCCGCCACACTCCTGGGCATGTTGGATGCATTTAGTCGCCCATGCTGCTGTCCCCCCCACACCTCCTGCCCCCCAATGAGATGCCGCCTGAGGACACTCCTGCATGCAAGTACAAAAAAAAACTCCTGTGGATCCTTAGAGAAATCCAGTGTCCTTGTGTCTTCCTGTGCCATGAACTGATATCTCAAACAATATTATCTGCCTTTTTATTTCACTTTTGTGAACTGCAAAACATCTCCCCTCTATGTAATAAATATGACGAGATGGGCAAGTTTGTGCATTCCACAGCAGGAGAGCAGCCTGTGGCGACAACGTCGCTCCTCCATACAGTGCTGGAAGTGAGTGTTGTCACCCTAGGACAGGAAGTATGTTGCTGGCAGGGTCACCAGATGAAATGACAGTGAAAAAAGGAAAACTAATGTGTCTAAGTACTTGCAAGCTGGAAGATATAACGTTTTGGGTTTAGATATGCTTTCATACAATATGCATTAACACACTGCTATAGTCTGAATGGGTCCTGTACATTGATTTGAGCAGGGTCCCGTTTCTGTGACGTTGGTGTGAAGTTTATCATTGTCACCCCTTTGTTGTTCCTTGTACAGCACTGTGTAACATGCCAGGGCTTTACAAATCAATCGCAGTTATTAAAGCTAATAAAACTTAGCACCGTGCTTCGATAAAACTTTCATCAGCAGCAACAGAGCGTGGAATGGTCACCATAAACATGATGAAGTCGTCCTCATTAACATAGCCTGACATATTTGTGTGTGATTACAAGACATTCCCGGGTCATTTCCATTCATGGCTAATGTAATGAGCTGGATAGTGTGACTGCGAGCGGTTATCAAGAGCACAACTATTTAGCCATAAACAGTCTGGGTCAAATATATCTCTGACTCTGTCGCTTTATGCAACGTCCTCCTTACTCATGCTGCACAATACGTGGATCATACTGGTCCTGGGCGGCCGGCTGGGCCACATATGCAGCTCAAACTGGGAGATATATTAGAATCGGATGTCCTGGATAATGCCAGGAATCGGGATACACATTCAATTAGCAACATTGTCTCAGGATTAACCAGACTCATGACAACTGATCATGTCGGAAAAGCCCAGAATAATCTGGAGCTCCTGACTCACTGAAAGCAGTAGGGGCAATAATAAATCTTACCGGTATCCGGGTAGTAATCAAAGTAATCAAATGAAAAGCAGTTTG